ACGGCAAGACCCCTAGAATTTGTGGTGACTATAGATTAACTCTGAATTCCCGTTTGTTGAAGCAAACATGCACGACGGTAGAAGCTGAAGATATTCTAAATCGACTTCATGGTTCTAAAGTGTTCTCGAAAGTTGACCTAAAAGATGCTTATCTTCAAATTCCTTTAGATGAATCTTCATCTATTTTGACGACAATTAACACTCCTTTTGGTCTGTTCAAATACAATTTCCTTCCATTTGGTCTAAGTTGTTCTACAGCCATATTTCAGGAAGTTATGAATAAAGTAGTTAGTGATCTTGAAGGTGTTGAAGTTTATCAAGATGATCTCATTGTTCATGGCTCTAATAAGGTAGTTCATGACCAGAGACTTATTGCTTTATTGCGTCGTTTAAGTGAGAAGAATATTACAGTGAATCCAAATAAGTGTCCATTTTGTGTATCTAGTTTTAAATGCCTTGGATGCCTAGTTGATGGTAATGGTTTTTGACCAGATATGAAACGACTAGCTCCACTGACTAATGCACCGTCTCCGAAAAATCTTACGGAACTACGTTCACTCGTGGGTGCTCTTCAATACTACTCCCGTTTTATTCCTAATATTTATTGTCGTGCAAATTGTTTATTTTATATTTTGAAATTCAATTCACTCAAATGGAGTAAGGAACTAGAGTCATGCTTACGGAGTCTACTAAAGTTTCTTCAAAGTGATGCTGTTCTTCGGACGTACTCCCCTTATGTGCATTCCGTGTATATTACTGATGCATCACCTGTGGGAATCGGTGGAGTTTTAGAACAGGAAGGTAGACCAGTTATTTGTGTTTCACGCAAACTTACTGTTACTGAACAAGGTTATTCACAGATACCGCGAGAAGCATTAGCTGTGTTTTGGGCTGTTAAAAGACTTCATAAATATTTATTCAGAAAGAAAATTACTATTGTTACGGATCATGAAGCTTTAAAGTTTATTTATCATCCTGAAAAATCCTTAGCACGTTCCTCAGCTGCTATGGTTCAACGATGGAGTATTGCTTTGAGTGCATATGACTATACGGTTCAGCCCAGAAGTGGCAAATAGATTCAACATGTTGATTACATTTCTCAACAGTCATTACAAGATAGACCTATTAATACTTCGAGCTGTTTGTTAGTGCAACCTTTATCAGTGAGACGTTCACACCTCATTAGAGAAACTCGCAGATATTTTGGATGTATACTCAGTGCTACATAGAAGAGCTGGTGTGCTAATTTGAAACGTAGTTTTGCTGTCTATTTTTCAAAGCGAGATGAGCTATCTACTACTCCTGATGGTATTCTGTGTTTAAATGGTCGTGTTGTCATTCCTCCTTCGTTGGACAAATCTGTTCTTGAAGATCTACATAGTGGTCATTTAGGTGTTGAGAAAATGAAGTCCTTGGCAGGGTTCACATGTTGGTGGCCAGAAATAAATGCAGATATATGTCGTACTGCAAACAATTGTGAGAAATGTCATCAGTTGAAAAATCATCCTTCGAAGTGGACGCCATGGCCAGTATCGTCTGAGGCCTGGCAAAGAATTCATGCTGACTATTGTGGTCCGTTTCTTGGTAAATACTATGCACTAGTAGTTATTGATTCTTTTTCAAAGTGGCCTGAAGTTTTTTCACAACTTCACTAAATTCTGATTTCACAATCCAAGCATTAAAAAGGAGTTTGGTCGAGAAGGGGTTCCCATGGTGTTAGTGACTGATAATGGCTATCACTTTGCTGCAGATGCAGTCACTACCTGGTTGAACGGTATAGGGTACAGACATCTGTTTACTGCTCCCTGACATCCGTGTTCTAATGGTCAGGCAGAGAATTTTGTTAGGACATTAAAGACTGCCATTGATTCTATAGCCCCCTCAACATTTAATGAGCTGGAGAGGGGAGTAGATACCTTTCTATTGCAATATAGCAATGCCAAACATTCGGTGACGAAGGAGACTCCAGCGAGGCTATTGAAAGGAAGAATTCTTCGGTCGAATATGAAATGTTTGGAGTCTGCAGAAGTTACATACTATCGAGGAAATGATCTTCGACCATCTACGGGTATTGGTCTGAAGAATGTCGGAAAATCGATGGTGCAAATTCTAGACATTTGTGTGCTTGTGTCTTAATTCTTGATTCAATTGCGTTAATGCTGTGATTCCTAGTTCATACAATAATTCAAATACGCTTGAACATTATATTAGGACTCTTTCAGACAAAATGCCATGCCAGTAAAGGGCAGGAAAAGCTAGCTAAAGACCACTGGCATCAAAATCCCAAACGCATTCTAATCCCAAAGCTTATAGAATTAAGCCCAATTCTTTGGGAATCTCTGATGTTACAAATATTCTAAGACTGATAAACTCTCTTGTATCTCTAGAATTTCAGAACTCAGAAGGCCGTAACCTTAGTGTAAACGATGCCATGTCCTCTGAAAATGTTGATTGAAATCTGACCATAAACAGTTGTGCTGATAATGACTAAGATAATACTGTTATAGTTTTCGTCACCGTAACACCCAGCTGTAGTAACTGTGTAACGTTCAACGAGCAAATTATTATCAAAAATGATGTAGCCGACCACGTGTCAGACATGAATGTTTTCTAACATTGGCAACCAAAGAAAGCATGGGTATAGACATTCAGTTCTCCACGAGTTACAAAGAAGCAAAAACAAATCACGAACCTTTCAAGCAAATGCTTAAGAGATGTTACACGTTTACCGTATATAAAAAATAATTCAAATTATTGATGGCTACTTAGTCACATGCATAGACCTGACAGCCTCCTTGGTCCGGCTCCCAAGATGTACACTATGTCTTTGTAAGATGGTAGGGTCACCAAGAATCAGAAGAATTATTTCTTTTTTCGACAGGCAAACATGATACAAATGATGAAAAAAATATTGACTGTGCTTCCCCTCGCGACACAGTCCTTACACTAACCAATACTGAGTATTCGCGAAACTACGACTAACGATCTGCAACTTGATGATACCCCTCAGTTTATTATTCTTTCATTCGATTATCTCCTTTCCAATAAAATTAACGATCTTAAAACACATACTCTTCTTGCAGATCCAACTCACTACTTACTTTGGCCTGTTACACTCGTGAATGAGCACAGGCCTCTCACCAGCATTCTCCATTCAACTCTGTCCTGGCAATTCTTTTCAGTTCTTTTCTGTTGCTTTTCACCCTTTACACGTCTGTTTCAAACTCTCAGTGCGGTGTGTTCTATCACCTTCCGGTTTTCCGTTTTCCTTCAGGATTCCGAGTTAGCGCTTGTTTCGTGATGAAGTTTTATGATTTCCTCAACGTATGTCCAGTCCGCTTCCAAAATCATTCCCTAATTTCTTCTTCAGATAGAAAATGGTTTGTTCTCCCAAACAGTGGACTGTTGTTGATGGTTTCCGGTCAACGGAAATTGAGTATCTTGCAAAGAAGAATGTTTATAAATAGATGTACTCTTTCGACGACGGTTGTAGTAGTTTTTGAAGTTTCAGCTTCATACGGCGATACTGTCTTGGTGTTTGTATTAAAGATTCTCACTTTGATATTGGTTGACAGTTGTTTTGAGTTCAAAATGTCCTTCAACTGTAAGAATGCTTCCCTTACTTTACCAACTCTTGCCTTTACGACTGCATCCGGTTCTCCTTGCTGATCAAGTAAGTCAACGTTTCCACCTCTTTCAGAGTTTCTCTATCAAATATGACTGGGTGTGTTCACACTGCTCTGGTTGTATTGACCTGCATTTACTCGTGTGTATGGGATAGGAGAGCCAAGTCGTCAGCGAAGTTCAAATCGTCTGGTTGTATACAACCTGTCCATTGTATTCCGTGTTTTCCCTCACATGTGGAGGTCATCATAACCCTTTTGACCAACAGAAGGAAGAAAAAGCGAGAGAGTAACCATCAATGTCTGACTCCGATTCTCATTTTGAATGCATTTGTCAACTGTCTTCCATGTGAGACTTTACAGTGTAGTCTACAATTGTTAGTAGGAGATATTAATAGAACTCTAACCTTTGACACACTAGTAGAATTCTGGATCACACTTAATATTGGAATGAAAGTATATTTCACCCTATCTGATACTTTGTGTGCATATCATCAATAAAAATGCTCGGAAACAGAACATACGCTACAATTCAATGTCACTCCAAACCCTTGAGTATCCCGACCCTTACGATGCCGAGAACTGTCTTCAATAAATGCGCAACTTCCAAAAATGTATTGTTTTATGTTTCTTTATCTGGAGAGGGATAAACATATGATGGGATGAACCTAGGGTGGACACTTCACCATCGTATAGTACCACGTTACATTTAATTTTAAATTCCTTAATATTATTGGATCACTTTAATACTTTGCCTATAAACAGCGCACATGAAAGTGGCGCTGACGAGTAGGGGATGAAAAGGTTGGACAAGAACTCTATAGGGTGTTAAACTCACTTTTAGAAAGGAATGCGTTATCATCCACTGATCCTCTCAAAAGAATTCTCGACAGAATCTTAAACTCCAACAGTAATCAGAGAAGTTAGTTGGAGGCTTTCCCTGAGTCACTCCAACTAAATTGCAGTGCTTACATTCCGTGGGTTGAAACCCAGATGGAATGTATGTGACTTGTTGTGAGCTGACGAGAGTTGACATAAAAGGAGGATTCAGTGAGGACGAAATCTATGAGGTTTATTTGTGAATGCAATTAGCAAAATAAGCAGGTTCCCAAAGCACATATTTAGGAACCATTATACACATTTCAGACGCGGACGGTCTAGGACAATTGGTCTGATAGTTTGAACTACCAAAGTTCGATATCCATAGATGACAATTTTTCATTGACAAACGAGTTGACATACTATTTCTTTTGATCAGGCTTTTATTTTTATTCATTAATGAGCGCATATTCATAAAACATGAGCAATCAAAGCTACTCTCTATCATAATAACTACATCACTTTTCAAAGTTGTTTATTGACATTGAATGTTGTTGGAGTGCATCAAGTAGATATCACAAACAGTTGAGCGCGTAAAGGTGAAGGCATGGTAAGGTTTGCTTGTCTGCATTATTCTTCAGGCCATAGTGAAACTGGTTAAGAATAAGGCTTATTTTAAACGCTTCCAAGTCAAATTCAAAAGGCGAAGAGGTAAGAAATGCGTTAGGCATAGCATACACAATATGTAGAGGGAAAAACTGACTACTATGCTCGCAAACGGCTAATTTGGCAGGATAAAAACAAATACAATACACCTAAATACCGTCTGGTGGTCCGATTTACTAATAAGGACATAATCTGTCAGGTTAGTGTCTAACTTTATCTACTGACATCAACTAGATTATTTATGCACGCATTGATGGAGACCGAGTATTGTGCTCCGCCTATTCTCACGAATTACCTCGATATGGCGTTAAGGTGGGACTGACTAATTATTCCGCCGCCTACTGTACAGGTCTTCTTTGTGCCAGGCGCGTATTGAAGCAACTAGGCCTGGATGGTCTTTATGCTGGGGCTGAGAAAGTCGATGGACAAGAATATCATGTGGAATCTGTTGACGGGGAAAAGTCTGCTTTCAGGTGTCATCTTGACATTGGTCTTGCAAGGACTTCATCCGGTGCCAATATCTTCGGGGCTCTTAAAGGTGCCGTGGATGGTGGTCTAGACATACCTTACTCACCCAGTAGATTCCCGGGTTACAACCAGGCGTCTAAAGAGTACAATGCCGAGGTTCACCGAGCCCGTATACTAGGTCATCATGTAGCTGAATATATGAAACTACTTCAAGAGGAAAGCGAAACTGATTATCAGCGTCAGTTCAGTGGTTATATAAGACATGGGATCACTGCTGATAAAATTGAGGCAATGTACCTCTCAGCTCATGCAGCAATTCGAGCAGACCCCTCACATATTACTAAGGAGAAGAAGGAGGTTCAACCGAAGAGATTCAATCGCAAAAAGTTGTCTTCCAAACAAAGGAAGGAACGTGTCCGACAAAAGAAGGCACACTATCTCTCTCAACTCAAAAAAGAAATAGCCGCTGCTGAATAGTTGTCTGTTATAATAAAATGTTGGTCCAGTATTTTGTAGTTTAGTCAATTCATATATTTAGTCTAGTCTTTGTCAGGTTTACCTTATATTCCATCTAGGTTATTTTCTCGTGACCACCTAGAGGTGATCTTTTGGTCACTAGAGTTGACCGATTAAGGCTTGATATTCCGAGTTGTTTAGTTAAAAATCTTTTGTTACTCGCTTGTATATTGCTCTTGATAAAACGTCATCGCGATATGTTGCACCAATTTGTTACCTCATAATTATGTTTCATTAACTACTTTGAGTTCTCCATTTGTGAATACACTGGGTGTAAAATCTCCTCATTGATAATTTAGTACATTGCTGCAATAAATATAAACGACACTGGTGCAAAGTGACTCAGTGCTAGTCACCGTAGCTCACGTGCTTTTAGTCTTTGTCTTCAAGATCTTGACTTCCTATATTCTGGTTATATAACATCAGGGTCATTTTCAAACCCTACTCACTTGTTTGGCACCATTCACTAGCACTACTATTGTAAATCGTCAAGTTTATAGTAAATGATAATGGTAAGAACCATATCTACTCTGAGGATTGTTGCCCACTAAAAATAAGTTGATTAACATTTGTCTTTCAAACAGATCCCTTGTATCCAATAATCGCTCAACTTGATAAGGTATACCTGTTATTCCTTTGTTAAATCTGGATTTTGTCGAAATCTGTATGCTGTTAAAGAATTTGTATTAATACTGTACGTTTGCTTTATGTAGTTGAATAAGCTTGTTAGCAATGTTACATAATTTACCACAAACTATTTGTAACTTTTTGGCCGCCAAACGGAAAATTAACTGTAAAAAGTAATTATAAAAGGGGAAGAAAGGTGCTGATAATATTAAATAACTTTTATTTTATATAGTTTAGCTAAAACGCTAGCCATAAAACCGAGAAAATATACGCTTCTAACTAATTATTCACCACTCAGTTTCACGTCCTTTTCCATATTTAAACTATACAAAAAGTCTAATAAATTAAGTTGGACCTTACGTTAAGTCAAGTAATTTTCTTACACGAAATCAGTTGGAGGTAGCAGTACGCTTTGTGAAATGTTGGCGTTTCGAAACCTCCCCGTCGAGTTAAGACCTTGCGATTAGTTGTCAGCATCTTCCATGTATGAACTGTCTTTTTGATAAGTCTCGTATCATTTGCCCCAGTTAGTGCACTTGAAAGCTAATCGGGGCATGCGTACTTGGCTTTTGACTCATTGTTGGGGACTGTAAGTTTACTTTTAGTGTCCCTATTCATCTAAAATAACTCACTCGTCGGGCGAACTAGTCTTACAGTCACGACGATAATTGACATGTTGAGTGCTTCCAACAAATGCCGTTTCCAGTTCCCGACTCAACCGTTATCAGGAAGCTAGTAAAAAAAGTACATAATTTTCGAACAAAGCATCATTTCATGGCCTGCGAAAGCTAGAATCTACAATAGGGAACTTAGTCATTCATAACGTAAAAAAGTAATCTTGTACAACTATGTAGTATTATCGGTCCGGTCCGGAATACTTCATTTTGCTGTGATTTCTCGTGAATTCGGTCTCTCCTTGTCTCGCTGTTTTGTTATGTGTTGAATTTGGCGGTTTATTGCCATCCCATCTGGCTGGTAAAATGGTTTTGGATTTTCTAGTTTGAAGCTTGGTATGGCACGTCACGGTTTTTACTTTCGGCCTCTGAACTCGGACGATTTACTACTGCGCTAGGTGACTGTTATAGTAGAAAAGATATTTAGCTATTGGTACCTACTACTTTGGCATTGTGCGTGTTTGCGACGTTGATTAAAATTTTCACTCGGTGAAATAAAGTTCTTATAACCATTGTTGCCTAACTTCATGTAGAATGATTCAAGAATCAGCAATTTCGAACTCTTTAGGTCATTGTTTTAATTACGAAAGTTCCCCTCTAAAATGGATATGCCTGTGCAGTTGCTTCCGTTTGACGTTTATTCGGTTAAGTCCTCGTTACTATTCATTTCTCATATGGATTAGAGTGAAGATGCCACAAGTATTCAGTGTTTGACAACGCTTTTACCAGTAACACCTAATATGAAGCGTACCCACTAAGAGAAATCGAAAGACAGAATTGAGGAGATTGGAAGATATATCTGATGACTATCAATCTATCGAGAATCGTCCGATCTAATCTGGCTAGCGATTGAAGTAGACGTTGAGCACGGCATTCCCACTCGTGATCTGGTGCGGATGCATGACCGAGCGCCTTCAGCTAGGTGAGTCCATTAAAACCAATTTGGTCAGCATCCAATGTCGAAAACTTACAGAGCTATTTATTTTGGGGATTTATTTACCGCTACAGATCACTCCCCCATAGTGGGGTAGTGATGACCCTAAGACGTGGCCAGCGAGAAGTTTAAACCCAACGAGTTTTGTCGTTGGTAAACACTCCTCTGATAGCTTGCTAAGTTAAGCAGCGTCTGGTCGTCTTTCCTTACTCTAAGGGACCATGAAATACAATATAGTAAGAAAATTTTGGTTCCTCGTAAACCTCATCGCTCTTTTTATCGTCTTTTCCAGCCGTCCTGGAAAGTAAAAAAAGAATATGTAAGTGCATGTCAAAATAAACCCGTACGCGCTTTAAGACAAAATGGGCGAAAAAGTGTAAATAACGTTAAAGCGAATTCTACAAAATGTTTCTTCAAAACATTTTTTTAATATACATACTGGCCAAATAATAAATGTAAACATATTAAAGATTTTTTATATTATGTATAATGCCATGGAAAATCGAGATGAAACAAAATGTCTTACGTGCAATAGTCATTTAAATGTTCTGCAAATCTTACTCTTCTGCCAGAACGCGTTGTTTTAAGTTTATTTTCAGATACTGTCGAAGTACCATCATGCGTGCTGGTTGTCGTCGGATAAGGTATTATAAGCGTAGGAGTTGTGTGATTGTACCGAAGAGAAATCGATGTGAATAGGATTTCCTTCTAAATACGCTGCTTTGAGGCGATCGATGCTGATGCTATCGTTGGTTCCGTCCTTATCGATTATATAGTACTTCGGTTCGCGTTGAAGAACTTTGATAGGTCCTTCGTATGCTGATTCGAAAGGCCGTCGATGCGAGTCTCGACGTACGAAGACGTGTGTACTACATCATAAGTCAGGTTGAACGAAAATATCAGTTGATTGAGGTCCAGTGGAAACAGGTTTAATTGAATGCATTGCGTTTGTAAGCCTGTTCATGTAGGAGGTTAGATCCATGTTCATTGAAGAGGATGAAGGATACACGAATTCTCCTGAAAGTCGAAGTGTCGTTCCATAAACGAGTTGAGCCGCAGTGTATCCAATGTCAGCTTTCACTGCATTGCGAATACCTAGTAAGACAAGCGGAAGAGGGTCGGTCCACTGTGAAACGTTTGCAGCTGATAGTGAAGCTTTTAGTTGTCGATGAAAACGTTCTACCAACCCGTTTGCTTGTGGGTGGTAGACGGTCGTTCGGAAGCGAGTCATTCCTAATAGTGTGGTCAGACGACAAAAAAGTTCAGATTCGAACTGACGTCCGCGGTCTGTAGTGATGGTTGAAAGGCAGCCGAATACTATACTGAGACAGTATGTTTGGGATCGTGATATAGATAGTTACAACCGGACGAACTGATGGACACATGTTTGTAAAAACGGGTACGGAAATATGTGCTAAAAGGAGAGAAGCGATAAAGGTGTACGTAATTATTTAGCAAATATTAAGAATCAGTGGATGGAAGTAGTGAAAACTAATGGGAAAACCATTTCAGTTGAGATAAAATCAATCCCAAGAGATCCTCTTAGCTAAAGAAGTGTGGACAGCCATTAACCTCTTCTGAGACATGTCTGATAACAAATTAGATTTTCCCTAGGACCCCCTACCAGAGAGTTGTGGATGGTTCCAGTCCCATACACCTACTCTTGTGCCAAGGCACCATTCCATAAACTGACCATCTGTCCACTTTTCCCAACCAGTCCCACAGTCGGGAAGCAATGCAAAATATGAGAATCACTGAGACGACATTCGTAGTGAATGTCTGAGCCACCAAAGTTGGTGTTTCACGGTGACACACTGAATAGTCATTATGTCCAAGCACACTTCACGAAACATCGGTGCTACTAATACGGTGTTGCCGCTGAATATTAGCAATATTTCAGAGTCAACCATGATCGAACACAGTTGCCTTACATCCACAACCCGGAGAGGCCAAGGCCATAGAATAAAACTGCTTTACCGACGCACTATAAACTACATTTTTACAGCTAAATTAGAATTATAACGATCCAAAGATGAACAGGGTTGACATAAGGCGCTAAAGCTTCCCCAAAATGTAAAATGATTCTACCAGTCACTTTTCGAATACCAGGAGTGAGTGCATATTCAGGGCTTCGTAAAAGCACTTTGAATTTGTAGAGGGAAACATTAGCCATGTCTACGGACACTGATTAAGGTCGGTTTGCATGATGGGGACACTACCTAATAGTAAGGCGGTATCATCCGGATACTCCGGTCGACCCTCGGGTAACATCCACGCTACCGCCAACCTCCTTATGTCAAGGCCGTTTTCAGAATGACGTCAATAGGAAAGTTGGGGAGGAATGGTTAGACTGGGTAATCCCACCTGACCTCACGGCTTAGATGTGACAATGGAGAGAGGGGCTCGTATGCCCTATTTCTGCCTCGTGTGTTTGTATATGGAACCTTCAATATTTTAAGAAGCTTACCAAGCACACGCTTCAGCAGATAATCCTAGAGCACAGTACCGTCCAACGGATCGAAGGCGGCCCTGAGATCAAGAAACCAACGATTGTTGGCCCGCAATAAGTATAGAGGCCTCCTAACATTTGATGGAAAGCGAAAACATGAACAGTACATCCCCGAGCAGAACGAAAACCAGCCTGCTTCTTGAGAGTAAATTCTTTATAAACTTCTGAGTATGACGGAAGCCCAAACAACTCAGTCAAATTCCTTGGTTGAAGGTGTGTCGACATCCTGAAAACGATATGCGGGTAAGTCGTCAGAGCCCGGTGGTTTACGGTGCTTCGAGAGTGAGTTTCTTGCAGATTTCTGCCTCGTTAGGTGGGTGTCATCACCGGCCATCGAAGACGATACAGTCTAACCGATGTCACTAGGACAGAAGACTAACTGGGTCGTTCCTTGAAAGACTCTTGATTGTAGGTGTTATTGATTGTCGTCCAATCTGCTTCACAGGTATTTTCACTCACACCAGACTTCTTGTTGCCTGTGACTCGGATGACTTATAATATGTCATTGCTGCTTCCAACCCTTCAGCATGCTCTGACTACCAGGCTTTTTGGTCCTCTAGCAAACTTGACACAATTTTCCTACATAAGAATTTGCGTTTACTGTCAAAGTCGCAGCTGGTCGAAGCAGACCTACGTGCTTCATGAAAATATGGGGTTGTAGAAATCCCAGTATTTATAGGCGGACGTTTCGTGAAGCCACCAGTGGCTGTACTCCCCATTTTCATGGCGTCATCCAAATGTAGCTAGTGCTGATCTGCACTTTTCGATGGGTATGATAACTTACCTCAAACATTAGCTCGCTTTGATATTTATTTGCAACGAGAGGTGCAACCAGTCTGTTTATGATGATGGATTTGTCGGCCACTGGAAAGCAAGGTATGATTAGCTCAATTAGAGTTGATATAAGTCTTGTACACAACCACCCCAGCTGTAGCTGACTGCGATATGATCAACCTGAGTCCGGGCTTGAGTTGCAAGAGTGGAGGATATGATTAAGTAAAGACGAAGGGTAAGATGCATATGCACCACTAACTTGTTTTTAGCCATATTTCAGTCTATCTAGGCTATCTTGAAGGCCCTTGTCATAAAGAATGCATATATAACTACTGAATAACCATGTCTTCAGATTGTGACTATCTAATCTTATAGTAAGCAACAATCGAGAAAGAGATTCGACGCAGAACCTGATAAGTGTGTACATTGGTTCAAGTCTTCATAACCCAATAGCATAAGGAGGTATAATCGTCAGGATAAATCCCAGAATAGAAGAGATAACAGAATGAGTGGTTGCAGAGAAGACTAGTGATCAAAGAAACAACCCAAGAAAGTATGAATTAGTAAAATAAAGACAGAGTTATGAGGAACTCAGAAGCCCATAATTTGGGGGAAAACAAGAAGCTGCACATGGACCATCGTGAACGATTTTGATCCATGTTATTCATCTATCAATGTGGCTGAGTCCCATTTTCAATGTCTCCATGGTCCGATGTCATGTTTTGGTTTGGTCGCCCATAACTTTCTTCCAGCCTACTCCTACAACACTCGCCGAGTTAAGCGAGCACAAACTAGAATTACAGTTAATTAACACAATGTGAAGCAGTCAACAAGTGGGATCAATTTTACACACTAGACGTCCTCCTATACTTAGTGTGGTCGAATGTCTTTTCTCATCAATCCCACTTGACCCATCAAAAGGCTTATCCTGGCGATTAACGAGGCCAGGAAAAGTCATTTATTGCACTAAGCTCACAATAACCCCACACCAAGATTAATTTCACGGGTGCTTTTTCGAAATTATGACTGATAGCCTTCTTGTGTTATTTCTGAAGCTTATCATTTGGTGATGCTCTAGTAATGTGGCATCTTTTACTGTTTTTCATATTTAGTAGTAGCCGTTCGATAAACGTGTATTTCTATCCCTGTAGTAATCAACTGTCTTACTGAACTAGTTCTGTTGGTGGATTTTCTCAACAAAACTCATTTGTGAAGAAATAAAACACCAAGCGCTTTGGTGAATGTAAAAGGATTACCATTAGAAAGACATTCTGCCAAAATAAATTTAACTTGAATGGCCGAATCGGCTTCGTCTACCTTGTCTACAATAACTTTGTTATTGGTGGTTTAGCATTAAAAGCGGTAATTAGTGTACTCATATAGAATTGGCGTATAACGGCTAAACGTTTTGCTATTTCGCCCAATAACAGGATCCAAACACTAACGCCCTTGCTTTGGTTAGATTTATGAAGGAAACCAATTACATGGAGGGGTACAATGTTTTTCAAGTCCTAAACAATAGTAGCGTTCAACCCATTAACGTAACGTCTTACCGTTAAATATACACTTACTAATTAATATTTAATAAACATATACTTTATGCAAAAATATGACCCTTCTAGTATCGGGTATTTCGGTGAAATTCGATAACTGTTTGTTCGGTACATTTATAGAAGGGTGATGAGATAGATCACAGGCCTACTTACATATAAACGGTACATAGTAAATATTTTAGATCTTTATTCTTGCTGTCTTCAATATTCTAAACAACAGAAAAAATATATTTGTCAAAATCAATCCAGTAGCTACTGTACTAATGTGCCAAGTTTGGCACCGACCTAAAGCATCAGAAGTTTCTTGCACAAAATTATTACCCAACAGTAAAACCTATGTATCTACAATCATCTATCTTAGGCATCAAAAAATCAGAAAAGCATTTGAATCATTAAATTACCTATTAAGTGAAAATATTTAGGAAGTTACAACACTAAAATTAAATGCAAATTTCAAAGATAAGCTTCGATATATCAGAAAATGTGAAAATCAAGCCAAAGTTTCTGGGTCTTCGGTCAGGAGTACTGATAACTCATTTACATTAGAAGGAATGTTCTCTCCTCTTTTTCTGATCAATGATTGCCTAACTGCATCTTCGATCTGTCCCAGACGTTTACGAACACGAAGAGCAGAAAGGCGTACAGACCAATCATCATGCCAACATTCTTGTATCACCTGTGCATAGCAGGATAGATAGGTGTCATCTAACCAACGCTGGTAGATGCGAGGCCTACAATGAACATTGTCGTAATCTGGACTTGTCTTGGGGGATTTAGTGTTTATACTTGAGCTATTCCTGTTCAATTGGTTTGTTTGATCATCACTTATGGTCAAACTATTGCCACAAACAATATCCCTCATCTGTGAAAAAGTTGGATCAGGAGGGACCATGTCGTAGAATGGTATCTGTAGAAAAGTTTCAAATTTAAAACAAAGATTATAAGGAATCATAAAAAATTAATAATAAACGTTGCTGAGTTGTTGGCAATTACTTGATGTCATAACACACAGAGTTTACTGTCCTCGGAGCTTAACAATTTTATGCACCATAAGCGACTAGTTCATTAAAAATTTAGAAATCATATTAAGCCGTTCAGACATAACAAATGTCTGTCAATATGTGCAAACATGACGAAGTGCAGGATGGCTTTGAATAAAGCCATTAACAATAATAATAAAGTGTCATGATATGAAAGGAAGTTGTAGCGGACTGGCTTCTGTCGGTCCTTCACGACTCTCTGGTTGGGGTCCTAGAGATGGTGCAACACAGTGATGTGCCCTTAACTTTGAATCACCGTAGAGCATTACGTAACAAAAATGTAAAATTTCGTGGATTTTCACTAGTATACGAGCCTTAATAAATCATGACTGGATTAAAAAAATAATTAATTATTGTGCTTTGCCCTTGAGATTTCACAAATATTCATTAACTACGGGGATATTCATAGAAAAAGATCTGATGACATCAATAATAACAGTCAAAACAAGAATTTAGAAATAATAAAATTCATTAGTTTAGGGATTGTATCAACAAAAATACTCAAACTGATGTTACAGAATGCACTGGTGCGGCTAAAGGTGGGGGAGCCAACTCTCTTCGAAATGCTTTCTAATGGCTACGCGTATACAACCACTGCCAGGGAAGTCCTCACTGCGTTTTCGCGGTGGGGGTGTTGTTTACGAAATTGAGAGGACGAAAACGAATGTCCGGCACTTTAACCGGGGTGGTGGGTGCAGAGGATCCACCTAGAGGAGTTGGAAAACCCTGATTCTAAACCACACAGGATCCTGAGGGAACAAATGGCGTATGAACCACTCGTCGGTCATCGATTACAATGGGACTGTATCTACTGACGCTACTCCACTGACTCGTGGATCAAACCTTTAAGTCGAAGACTCCGGGTGTGGTCTCCTAAGAAAACCAGCTACTTCGGTTTGGGCATCCGGGCAGTGTCACATCTCACATAAATCAAGTGACTTGTGTGGCGCATATGTATTCGGTACCCCTTTGCATCAATATTTGTGTTTAAATAAAAAGGATCTGCGAAAATGTGAGTCACACGAAACCGAATAAATCAATATGATCCCTTTTGATAAAACATAGTTTGTTGATTATTTGAAAAGCAGATTTTCCCCTCAAATTCTAAGAAACTATTACCCTTCAATATATTTGGTGCTTTAGAACTTTTTGCACACGAGTAAAAATATTGAACTATAGAACACTTTACTCTATCAATAATTACGATCTGAAATTCATATACTTACGACAGCACTAATTTATAATACATAATTTTCATATTAGTAAGATAAACAGAAAAAATGCCTTTAATAATAGTGAATATCAAAGTATGGAAATTCATATACTTACGACAGCACTAATTTATAATACATAATTTTCATATTAGTAAGATAAACAGAAAAAATGCCTTTAATAATAGTGAATATCAAAGTATGGAAAAGTCAATGTACAAACCTGATATCCTTCAACAAAATCAGATGTTATTCCCTGAGTGCATCGTGCTAATTCCCAAAACACTAGGGCCATCGCATAAATATCTGCAGCTTGGTAAACTTCAAATGGCAAATGGTGACTTCTGTTTGGACTATCAATACTTTCATTAGTTATACATGACGTATTGTTGCCGCAGTTAGATGATGTGTGTGTTATATCAATCGCCATAAGTAACTCAGGTGCCATGTAACGTTTAGTACCAACCCTAGGTCCGGCAGGAGGAGGACCTAAAGAAGAAGGACCAGAAAGTCCACTGCACAATCTGTCTGACTGAGTTATACCGCTAGACATAACACCACTAGATAGCATTGAGGAAGATAAATTGAGGAAGGCTTGTCCGACTGGGAGACTTTGTAAATTCACAAGGGCAAGACCCAAGTCAGCTATACATGCAGTCATATCACTCATAACAAGAACATTCTTAGATTTGAGATCACGGTGTGCAATAGAAGGTTTAGCATGTAATCCTTTTATTTCTGTATGCAAAAACGCCAAGCCTGCTGCAATGGAGCTGGCCAGACGCAAACCATCCTGTAGTTTTAATGATCTGTGACTGATGAAGTCATGTAAAGATCCGTTAGCGTGATAAGCTGTAATTAACCAGAGCTGAGTGCATCCACCTCTTGATATCATGTCGCTAGCATAATACGCCAGGAGATTAGGATGACGCAATAAACCAGTGTTGTAAACTTCTGTTTCACGAGCCCAGCTGGCTTCATCACGACTAGAAAAAATCTTAACAGCAACGGTTTCACCTTGACATGTAGCTTTCCAAACTTCACCAAATCGTCCTTTCCCTATACACATTGTCAATCTAATATGACGTGCTACAGTTCTCTGAACAAGGAACGGAAGACCGCTCCCACTTCCACTAGTGCAGCTAATAAGTTCACACGAAGGATCAGGATTATGCAAATTTTTTGAAGAAAGATTATTTCCCATTCCGGGTGAGACATAAGATGATAACTTACGATTCGAAAACTGTTCTTCATTGAGTTTTACTAGATAATTGTAGACATCTGTAGTGAAGCTGGGACGTTTGTAGTTAAGTTCATTGACATAGCGATCGTAGTTTTCTATTCGTTTTTTTAAAAAGCACTTCCAAAGAAGCATGATCGCTAGAAGCCCACAAAACAGTGCAAAGGTAGGGAACAACACTGCTGTTAAAATAGATTTCCATGTAAAGGCATGAGCATTCATTCGCATAGGACTGATTAATTCTAGCAAACTCGAGTTCCGATTGCATAAATCCCCATCATCTGGAGAACAACAATATAATAATTGTCTACCAACTTTTGAATTTCGGCAGAGTAAGTCAACCTGATTTGTATTATTTGAAAAACACCCATACGACTCATCATCCACATATGTTAGTGATAAATCCAAATGCAATGAATGAAAACATCCTGTTGACGATACACAAACAGACCTGGAATATGGGCAACGGCTAAGAGGTGAACAATGGCAAAAGACAAGTAAAGGTCGGTTTTGTGTACTCTTATTCATTACAACTATAACCTTTCATATAGTGAAGATTCAGTTGAAAGCATGGGAGACTGAAATGAAAATCAGATAAAAACAATAAAGATTAATTTGTGAGTAAACACCATGTTTGAATCATTAACAGAACATAGTAAATAATATACAGTTTTTATAAGTTAGTTTGTAAATATTCACATTTAGGTTAGATTTAATGGTTTCTAGAACTGTTTAGACCAGAAAAATAATATCCATTATTTTCAGGTTTGTAGTTTTGAATCCGTAAAAAGACAATCTAATTTTGTTTATTTAGCAACTTGGAAATAGAAACCTCAATATGATGCAAGCTATGCTATCAATCGCATATTTATTGGAACCTTATTAGAATATATTCAATAAATACATTGATTTTTACCCAACATTTATTTGACTGTGACCAACCATTTCGCTGACTTCTGTAATAAATGTTTGGTTTTTAGATTTAACCTAGAAATGAAAATAGGCTCGACAACTAGAATTTCGATAAAATGTTTTAAGTGGCGGCTACTGGTAATATTTGGTTGTCCCGAAATTAAGAAGTTAGGAACTACTAGTTAAAATTGGATCGCTTTGAATACACAACCACTGCTCTTATAAATAATTCGAGGACTCGTTTTACAATCATTGGGTTCGTTTCGAGGACCGCTTCATTGGATCACGAGGAAAATACATAAATTACTAAGAAAACCTTACCGATGCATAATGTTTGCTTACTGGTTAAAGATATTTAGTACTGTAAGCCAAAAGACAAAGAACCCTCAAATACTAGATCAAATATTCACATCGCAATCTGGTCACTTCGGATTTAACAGTTCAGTAGTACCCTTAATCCTGCATGAAGGTCAGCAACATACTAAATGGGTGATTGATGCATTGATTCAAGATATCACAACTCAAATTACGTGAAAATAAATGCACAATAGGAGTAAAAATGAAGGTAGGAAATCAAGATAAACAAGTACGAAACAGAAAGATGTTCGAAATGTACGAGTTAATGACCGCAACCTGCTTAAGAGAATGTCAGGTAATGAGTAGATTTGTCGTCTGATTTAGTTATGATTTGTAGATTAATATGAAATATCCCAGTAACACAAAGTATACTAAATAATTTGTCCCAGAAATCCGTTTAATCGTAGTCACGAGATATTACCAGTTTTCTTAAGCATGCACCAGCGATATTTGCAAACCATCCAGTTGCTTAAATCTGAAAGATAGTCGTAAGCTACTAGTACTTGACCACAGATGGCTTAGAAATATTACTTGCATCTGTTGGGATCACCGGGTAAGTAATAGTGAGGTTAGACGTAGGGTATTAGGGAATGATGGTAAATCAGTTGATGAGATTGTGAATCTTTGTCAACGGAGATGGTTGGGCCACGTGTTACGTATGCCCGAACACCGATTACCACGACGTGCAATGCTAACCAGTGTTCTGGATGGTTGGAAGAAAGTTAGGGGCGGCCAAACCAAAAAGTGGCATCAGTCCATGAAGTCACTAACTTCCAGTCTGAGCCATGTTGGTAGATGCAGACTACTTGGTTGGGGTCCGCGTGACTATCGTAACCACTGGTTGGAGACTCTTGGTGACATGGCTCAGAATCGATCACAATGGCGTAGGTGTATATACTCTCTGTCTTCCCTTAAAGCGTGAGATTAAAATTGCTTTATACCTTTCTTTCTACGAACTAATTCTTTCTCCCTGTATCAGATCGTTATATGAAATGCTTTTTTATATACTACCATTAAAGTAACTGCTTCTATGCGTTTGGTGATCATATTGTTGTGCTATAGGTATGGCAACTTCGACCGATGCATATATGTACCTGGTCCTACGTTGTAGCTGACTGACTTATCACAGGTAGCATACCTTTCATTACACTACCAACTTGTACTTTTTATTGATTATGTTTACTAACGTAATTCATTCCACTGTTATCACTAACTTATAAACTCCCTTTATTGGTTTAGTTCTACTCTTAATGGTCACGTTTCGCAGCCGTAAAGAACAACAGAACGAACTGCTGCGCAGTATACTCGTCCGTTAATTGATAGACGGATATTCCGCCTTCGTCATAGGTGACGTAAGTTGGCAAAAGCCAAGCGAGCTTTTCGAATCCGTGCTGAGATTTCGTCAGACACCAACCCATTAGGGCTGATCAAACTTCCTAGATAAGTGAAGTTGTCGACGCGTTCGACTACTTCACTCCCTATCCTTAGTTCAGGTGTTGACGCACGCCAGTCGTGAAGCAACAACTTGCATTTAGAGGGGGAAAAACGCATCCCAAACATACTGGCATTGTTGCTCAGTGCTATCAAAAGACTGAATTTTATTAGCGTCTTCACTAAACAGGACTATGTCATCTGCGTATGCTAAGTCCATAAGTGAACATCCTGGTAGGAGATCAATGAACGAAAATTCAGTCGACGAGAGCGTTATTTCTATCAGTAGGTCTATTACGAAGTTAAACAAAAATGGAGAAAGTGGACAGCCTTGACGGACACCACTTGAGGTTGCAAAAGCAGATGACGGTTCGCCACAAGCTGTCACTCGATTAATAGTGTTCGAGTAAAGAGCCTTCACAAAGTTTATGTACTTCTGAGGTACGTCTTTTAATGACAGACACTGCCACAGAACCTCTCGGTCTACAGAGTCAAATGCTGCTTTTAGGTTGAGAAAGACCACGGTTGTCGGACGCTGATAAGCACGTCTGTGTTCTATAACCTGACGAATGGTGAATATGTGGTCGATGCAGACACGACCATGTATCACTTACACTTGAGTTATTAATTCTAGTTTCTTTTATTGCTATGAAGGGCTTTCTTGTGTTCCCTACAGCTACTGCCTTTTCCATCTCTTTTGTTTTCGTTGCCCACCACTGATCACAGTCGTTCCTTAGACTTTTGGTCAATCTAGACTTTATTTGTTTTCGCTCTTCATAGAGTTCAGAGGCTGGTGGGATGAGCTTACGAGAATCTACCAGTAATAAAGTTAGAAGAAATCCATTGGTTTTTGTAACTCTTTGGTTTAAATCATTAGCAGATGTCACTGCTGTTTGTAACTTTCCAAGCAACAACTGGGTGAGCCTCGTTTTCGGAACTGCCTAAGTGTGAACTCAGTTGTTCCTGGAATTTACTTTTGGCTTTCTCGTCACTCAATTACATCCTAATGTGTCTTCTTAATAAGGTTTTTGTGAGTCCACTGACGCGCAAGCAAATGCGTACACGTATTAGAGCATGATCGGAGTCCAAGCAGGTATTCTAGAACGAGCGACAGTCTCCTGTTGAGCTTCTCTAACGAGAACTGATGGCAATATAATCTATTTGAGTCCATCGTTGGTTTGGTGCACGGGGTCGCCATGTTAGACGATGTCTCAACTTATGCTTAAAATTAGTGATGGCTAAAAATAAAAAAATGTCTGAGTACAGTTGGAGAAGACAATCATCATTATCTGTTTGTTGAGCCGAAATACTAAAATACCCACCTGAATGTCTTTCTGTTTGGTTTAGGCTACCTACCTATGCATTAAGGTCACCTGCTACAAGTACTATGCCTAAGCGTCTAGCTTTATGAAGAAGTTCAGAAAGCTTTCTGTAAAAGTCATCTTTTACCTCATCTGGGTTGCAGTCAGTGGGGTCGTGGACAGAAAAAACGAAAAGGTAACGACGTGTGTTCCTATCCTTTCGAGTTCACACGGAGCCATTTAACCGTACAGCATATAGGCGACTGTTAACAGGGATCCATTCTAACACTGCTTGTTCTACCCTCGTACTTAATGCCATGCCTACACCTGCCAGTCCACGAGAACCAGCCATCGGAACGCCAGAGACACGGAGGGTGCATCTCGTCGGCTCTCCGTTTTGCCGAGGTGAGGTCAAGAGAATGACAACACTAGGGTCCTGTATGCGTGTTTTGGAGACACAGGATACATCAATAGTAAAAGATTCTAGGGTTTTAGCCTAGGAGGCCTGTTGGCCGATTTGACACAGGATGGGACAATCAGTGATTGCGACCAGTGATGCGATTACGTCCAACTCCCAGATTTCAGCTGAAATTGGACCACATCACCTAAAGACCTCTGGAGCCAATCCATCTGGACCAGCTTCTCTTCCTCATTTCAGATTAGCTATAGCCTTTTGAATTTCAGATAGAGTCGGGGGACTTATTTCAATGTTCCATTCACGCTCTCTTGGATTGGTGGATAGTTGTAGAATCGCTGGAGGCCAGCTGATCTGCTCTTTAAAATGTCGTCTTTTTCCGAGTCTGAAAAGTTCTTTTGTATTACAGCTGTCTTCTCCGTTTCTTTTGCTTTCGTTGCACACCAGTATTCACAGTCGTTCCTCAAACTTTTGGTTAATCTAGATTTTATTATTTTACGCTCTTCATCAATAGTACGAGATCCTAGGGTTCTAGACAAGGAGGTCTGCTGGTCGATTTAACAGAGAGTGTGCATGTTAAAGACGCTAATGTGTAGTCTGGAGAGAGGTTTCAGTAGACCTGGGACAGTGTTTTGCGCACTAGAATCGTTGGCTATGGTGACACTTGGGGAGGAAGTCAAAAGAGAAAGATTAGTGTTGAAAGTCAATGTAGGAAGAATAACAGGAATTGAAGAGGGAAGCTGATTATGAATACAGTGATCTTGAGTGCTGTTGGAGGTATCAAAGCGGTTATCATTCCCCGGTTGCCCACTCCGTGGAAGGGTTCTCCTGGAGGTACCTGAAAAGGAAATCGGGTTAGGGGTGGTCCTAGTGACCTGAGAGCATGGCCGCAGTGCCCAAGGGACAACTGCTTGACGTCAGTTACACACGACCTTTTTATGAGTAATTTTTGTGTTAGCTCCGTACTTGTTGAGACCTTACCGCCGGAGACGGATATCCGTGGGATAAGGCGAAGTGTGCATTTTTAGGGTCGACCTTTCCTAACCACACCCCTCCTCGTGGGAAGGCAGCATCACCGTTGTGCTGATTGTCTGAAGGAAACACCTTACTGCTGTCACACCTCTTTACAGTCAGCAGTACGGCTTCGCCTTCGGACCTTGGGTTTGCTGCCTTTGATCTTACCGCCCTTCAACCGACCTGTCTGGCATGGTAGGACCTTGAGGAACGACTTTCCCAGCCAGTATAGCTCGGTGGGTTCATCACGATAGGCAAGCCCGACCACAGCGTCAAGGTAGCAACAACGGTCGGGAGCTTTAGTAAGAGTAACAAGGGTTCGAGTCAATGTTCAATAAGCTGCCTTGATTAGTTTAATGATTTCGTCTATGTACACAAATATAATTATTTACTAGTATGAAGCCTAATCAATACCTAATTTAAAACAATATTGTTCGCTTATATACGTTGTCCTTATTCACAATACGGGAATTTTTAAAGTTTTTCTAAGTGACTCAAATCTCAAGTGACATGTTAGCAGTCACACAAGCCATCAAAGTGATGTAACAAAAACATTTAACCACCAATTTAACATACTAGATTGAATTGAGGGTTTTCTCGTTTTGTATTTTGCCTAGCAGTTTTCACGTCAGTAAAAGCGATCAGCTTGCAGTTGAATTCATCATATTGAAAAGAAGACATTATGCAACAATGAAGTCAGATTGATCGAGTTTGTAGGCGTGTTCATCAAATAACTGAATTTATGTGGAGATTTTCTCTCATACTGATAGATAGTGGGAAACGAAGTAAAACAGTGAGTGTAAGGAAATAGTACGGAAAAAAAATGACAGAAGTATTGCGACAACTCAGTAACTTAAGAATATAGGGGGAAAAACTATATTAATTATATTGGTTTATCTAGAGAAGTGGCTTTTATACTACATAAAAGAGGGATCGAAACGCGTTAGAGTTCATTCTGCTTTGTCTGAGCGGTTGACAGAAACAATAGGAGTACCACAAGACTCGGTCTTTGGAATTCTCTTTTTCGTACTATCCATTAACGACCTACTTTGTAATCCAGATTCCCAGATTCTGCTATACCAGATGGTCTTGGGATTTAAAAATGAACTGACTGACTGAGAAATGGATGAGATACTTCTGACAACTCAAATTTCCACAAACAGTTGGTTATACGACTGGGTCACTAGAAAGCTACTCTCAATAACTGAAAACGCAGGATGCTAATGGTGAATAACAGTGGTGCATGCAGGTCGTAGTTTCTGGGTGATTTAAGTATTACCTTCATAAGCACAACAACCGATCTGCATATTACTTAATGTAATACCCTAAGTATCTATTACTGTCCTGGACACAATAAAGTATACCGTCCTGAGGTTTCTTTCGAAAACTTGAATTAGTTGACTCCAGAATTATTCAAAACTGCTTTCAATGTTTACTCAAAACTTTACCTGGGGAAAAACTGCATTATGTCTCTTAAGAAGTATGTAGCTCTCTTGAAACATGTAAAATAGAGCAACACACAATGACTCACACTAAAATAATAAATCCTGCTCAGTCCCTTGAAGGCTTTGAATTTTCGCCCTGTACGGTGCATAAATATTAGGAGAATATCATCAGGATGAATCGTAGTCTTCATAATCCTCTTCACTAAAGTAACTTATACATTTTGGTGCAAAACTACGCAAACAAGAACATCAATATGTGATATAACACGGACGTTCCCGCAAAACTTTGTGCATACTTTTTCGTGGTTTTAATCAGTAAGCTACTGAACCACTTTTGGACGTGATAGTAGTGGGGACTTATACCATCTTTCAAAACTAAGCCCGACGACTACTTTAGTTCCGTAGGAGCTCAGATTCAGATTTGTGTAGTAAGGACAGAAGGCCTACGGCCCATGTTATTCCTTTTCTAGTATGCTTTTGTGAGTGCCCAGTCTTCTCTTGAAAGAGTCAATTGAAGGTGCGGACACCACTGCTTCGGGTAGCAGTAGATAAATATCTATGCATTTTCCAACTAAAGCGACATATGTTCTATAACGTTTTGCCTTGCAGGTTTAAACGTTGTAAGCCAAAGACAAGTGTGTAGAACTACCATGTATATCAAAGAACCTGACAAATCGAAAACTTAGATAATATATCTTACAACAAATTCTTTAATTTTTCGGATTTTCCTTGACCCTGTAATTTATTGACGACCTTTGATCGACTCCAAAGTGACCTTCAGAATGTCCACCTTACTAGGACTAAACGATGATCACAAACCAGTGTTAGGAATTAGAATTATGATTCACAAATGATGGTTAGGAATTGGATTTAGGGTTTACATCGTGAACTGACAGCAGCCAAAGTGCCAAAACGCTGTTTAGCCAAACGGACGAATGGATTACTCTTCAAAATCCAAGACCTGTTATCCTAAATCTGATTGTTTCGTCCATAATTTATATTCTTGACTGTATATTAGATGTAACACAACCCATACTTGAGTGGAAAGGATTGACTTTGATAGCAAGTACCACGTTCAAGGTGATAGTATTTGGAGTCTGACGATACCCTAACCTGTAATCATTGTGGCGGTAAATAAATCCCCGAAATAAATAGCTCTGTAAGTTTTCGACATTGGATGCTGACCAGATTAGTTTTAGTGGACTCACCTAGCTGAAGGCGCTCGGTCATGCATCCGCACTAGATCACGTGTGGGAATGCCGTGTCCAGCTGCTACTGCAATCGCCGCCGGATTAGATCAGATAATTCCGATATATTGGAAATCGTCAAATACAACTTCTGATCTCCTCAATTCTGTCTTTTGATTTCTCTTAGTGGGTATGAGTTATACAAGAAGGTGTTACTGGTAAAAGCGTTGTCAAACAATGAATACTTGTGCCATCATCATCGGTGAGACCGACGTGATCCGGTACACCTAACTGCAACTGTGAGTCTGTTCCTTTTTGGGATTTTTATTTATTACTGCCTTATTTTTTATCTTTTATACGTTGCGATATTTTTTCCCCGTGTTTCAGGATATCTCTATATTTTTCCTCGTGTTCTCGTACTTAATATTCCCCTATGACCGAACAGACTCCTAAGGTATTTACGATTAAGACCATGTCCATACCCTCGTTCCAACTCATGCCCTTCTGGCCCGACAATATCAAAGCCTGGTTCTGCTACGCAGAAGCCGACTTCCACGAGCACGGCGAGAACGACACACGTGCACAATTCCTCGCAGTAGTCAAGGCACTACCGTGGGAATTCAACAGGTACGTAACACCTAGTATGTTTACTAGCGATGTTTCTGAACCGTACGAAACGTTAAAGCGTTCTATCATTAAACGAGGAGACCTAACCGATTGACAAAGGTTAGACCAACTCTTTAACAATATAGACCTGCAACACGGTTCTGCGACGGACATGTTGCTACTCGAAACCGACCGACTCGAAAAACAACTCAGGAAACTTCCAAGCCGGCACGCGTTAACGGCAACCGTAGCCGGCGAACATAGCCGTCTGTTATACGTCACAAATGTGACAACGAAAGTTTGCCACCTCGTCGGCGCAGAAGTTAGTGTTCTCCCAGCGAATTCCAACGACCGCCCTCACGAATCGGCTTTAAACTTACAGGAGGTAAACGGAAAACCTATCGCTACGTATGGTAAAAGGTACGTTTACCTTAACGTGGGTTTACGCAAACCCATTCACTAGATCTTCGTTGTTGCAGATGTTTCTATGCCAATTGGCATGGACCTTCTATAACACCATAATCTGATCATCGATACGCACAAACGGAGGCCAGTAGACGGAAACACTTATTTATCCGTTTGCGTAACTTTTTTTCTGGTTGCAGATTATAACCAGTCACAATTAAGCATACGATAGACCCACTTCATCAACCACTACTCGATAAGTATCCTGGGATTCATCAAATGCAATCGAGACTACTGTGTGTAACCAGCAACGTTACACATCACATCACGACTACAGGACCACCTGTATTCTCTAAAGCACGATGACTAGCCCCCAGAAAGCTAAGGTCGGCGAAAAACGAGTTCCATTACATGATAGACTTAGGAATCATACGACCGTCAAATAGTCCATATGCATCTCCGTTGCACATGGTCCCTAAAAAGGAAAGCAACGATTGGCGTCCAACTGGTGACTATCGGCGATTGAATGCAAAAACCATTCCCGATCGTTACCCGTTGCTTCACATTCACGATTTGACAGCTACCTTGAAAGGTACAACTGTTTTTTCGAAAATCGACTTGGTTAAAGCGTATAACCAAGTCCCTATGGCTACAGACGACATTCCGAAAACCGCCATCATTACTCCCTTCGGACTCTATGAATTTTTGCGAATGCCTTTCGGTCTAAGAAACGCTGCTCAAACATTCCAACGATTCATAGACGACGTTTTTCGAGGTCTCAACTTTGTACATGCGTATGTTGATGACTGCCTAAGTTCGGACAGAGAATCACATCTTAAGCATCTGGATCTTGTTTTCGAACGACTACAAAAACATGGCATTACTGTAACGTTCAGAAATGCCAAATCGGGACCGACTCATTAGACTTCCTAGGACACACTATAGATGCTCAAGGCATTCGACCCCTTAGGACCAAAGTGGCGACAATTCTGGACTACCCAGAAGCGACCACGATCAAGCAACTACAAACGTTTAACGGTCTTGTAAGTTTCTATAGACGATTCATGCCTAAATGCGCTTTACTCATGAAACCTCTTACCGACCAACTTCGTGGAAATGCGAAATCCATTAATTTGGACGACACCGCACGAAAAGCATTCTTCACAATTAAGGAACTCATCGTTAAAGCAACAATGCTTGCACATCAGGACACCCGAGCACTCATTAGTATCGCAGTAGACGCATCCAACTCAGCAGTCGGAGGAGTTTTACAACAATGGGTTAACAACTCCTGGCAACCATTGGCATTTTTCTCTAGACGGTTGCTAGACACCGAATCGAGGTACAAACACTGAACACCTGTGCCATCTTTATTATAATCAAAGTACATCAACACAGTCAAATCACAAGTCCGAAGTGAAGAGGTTCGGGGATATATTAGACAGGTTATCGACTTATCGAGAGGTGATTAATCTAAGCTGTCTAGTGTTGTAGACGTGTAGCGCCGCGTACCAACTCGTTATCTGGTGCGGATGCATGATCCAGCGCCTTCAGCTAGATCTTCATTAATAAGGATAGAAGTTCTATCGACTTATACTGATCCTTGCAGTTTGTAACGCTGTGAAGGTCCAATCTCTTTTTCAATGTATCAACAGAAAGTGCTGATATTGCGTATTTTGTTAGAGAATTTCAGTAATTCACTGCGTTATGTGAGAAACGCATTTCCAGACGTAGATGATTTGATCTCGGTTTCTGAACTCTCTTCGAATGTTCTCTCAGATGATCAGTCCTAGACGGAATGAAAAGATAAGACATTTTTGTACTAAAGTGATCGTTCAGTATGCGATAGGCCAATATTAGATCACCGTGTATTCTACGGTAAGGTGACGGAAATAAGTTGAGGTGTCTATCTGTCTTCACAAGATAGACTAGAGAGGCATTTTACCATTTAAGTTCCTCGTCGTTGGACCCGTCCCAGCACATCCGCCCCATACTTGAAACAGGGACGAGCAGCTTGGATCCAATATTCCGAATGCGGCCTCACGAAATTCGGCTGTAATAATCTAAACATGAAATGACCCACGAACAGTTCACAATGCCCAATATATTTGTTCAGCAGCAGCCTTGCGGTTGCTAGTAGTTTTGAAATTTCTGCTTATTATGACTTTTAAATCTTTACTGTCCATCGCTTTGGGTAACACAAGTTCACGTATTGTGTGGTGGTACGATTAATCGTAGTTATTCAGTTGTATCACGACACTCCTGTTAGGAGTCACTTTTTGTGACCATCCGTCCATCCATGCCATCAATGAGTTGAGATCATCCTGTAATACCATTCTATCTGACATATTGTGTATGGATCCCCAAATCTCTGTCATTGGTGAAGAGTGGGACGGATGACTTTACTACAATTGACAATTCATTTATATGAGGTAGTGAAGATGCCACAAGTATTTGGAGTTTGATAACGCTCTAACCAGTTACACCTACTGTGAATCGTACCCACCAAGCGAAATCAAAGGGCAGAAGCGAAGAGGTTCGAATATATATTTGATAGGCTACCAATATATCGAGGATCGACTAATCTAGACTGGCTAGCGATTGCAAGGGATGTTGAGCACGACGTTCCCACTCGTGATCTGGTGCGGATGCATGACTGAGCTCCCTCAGTCAGATGAGTTCAATAAAACTAGTGTGGTCGGCATCCAATGTCGAAAACTTACAGAGCTACTTCTTTTGGGGATTTATTTACCGCTACAGCGGGATCAGAAGAGGACCGAGAATAAGACCTTAAAGAACTCCACTTTTCAAAGGTTCCCATGAAGGGAGAGCTCCATTTACCCTTAATCACTGTCTCCCGTCATTGAGAATGTCACTTAACCAGCTTATGACCTCACAATGTATTACAAAACTTTCCAATTTAGAGTTAAGACCCGAATGACCGACCTTATCAAAGGCTTTACTCAGATCTATGAAAATAATTTCTACAAGTATATTCAGATGTTTTTCCGCAGCTCAATCTTCTCTTGCAATGTGCAGATTTATCAAACGTGATAGGCCTCTCAAAAAACCAAGTTGTTTCCTGGATAAATGACTATGCACTTCCACATAGTTTATAACAGCCATCCAAAAAATCATTTCCATTACTTTTACAACTGCACTGGTTAGAGTAACGGCTCGATAGTTACTAACTATATCTCTGATTCCCACCTTACACGCTGGACTAATTATTGCGTCTTTTTAGTCTCTTGACAGTCTGGACTGCCACATAGGCATATCAAAAGGTATGGCTAGAAGTTCAGCAATTACAGCCGATAGGGTTTTCAGAACTCTAGGATGAATATCATCAGAACCAGTGGACTTATTTGTTTGAGATGTTGAAGTAGTTTTAGGACAGTACCTTTCTCAATAACTACAGGAACTTTCAACAAGCCGTCACAATCACAATGAATCGTTGGTCGTTCCTCATTACTGAAAGAAAACACTTTAATAAAATATTCCGATAAACCTTCAGGTTTTTCGATATCATCGCTTCTTGTATCAAACCTCATGGAATTCCATCACTTCTCTGAGTTCGCCAT